GGGCTGTGATCGGCAACGCCCTTGCGGCCGATGCAAGGATGCTGGGATTGGCCTTGATGGCTGCATCAGCGAAGATGAAGGGAACGGTCGCAAAGGCCGCTACGGTCGTCACATGGGGGTTCCCGTGAAGAAGACCGTTGATTCTCCTCACGGCACCGAGGCCCAGACACTGGTGGCTACTGCCGCCCCTATGCCTTTGTCGTCGTCGTCGTCGTCGTCGTCGTCGTCGTCGTCGTCGTCTTCGTCTTCGGCTGCTATCGCCGACAAGAACAAGAAACGCAAGCGCTAGACCCATCCTGTATCCGGCATGAGGATGACGGTCCTGTGGGCTTTTCCTATCTCAGATACACCTTCGCACCTGCACCTGTTTGTCCAAATATCGACTTATGAGCTGTGCCTGGATGGCTGCATTTCCGCAAACATATTTTACCTTTTACTTTTTAACATAGACGAGTGGAATTATCTGTGTATCGCATCTTTCCCCTCCTTTCATAACCTTGACCCTGTACCGTTGGCCTTCCATCCTGAAGTCCTCCGTCCCTCTTCTGCGCGGTACCTTCCACTCCTACCTCGGTCGGAGTGGGTGACCCTGCGGCTGTTCGGACGGCTCCTCTGGGTGCGTCGCTCATTCCAACCTCTCACCTTACACCCACGCTCCCTCCGACTGTCGACCTCACAACCTCGCATCAACTCGACGAGCCCCGAGCTCCTGTCACGGTCCCTCACATCGTCATGCTTGTCCCATTACACTCTGCATTCTATTCAATAGTTCTAGCGATTGAACTGAGCGGGTTGATTGTGTTTATTGTGTCGTGTTCTTTTGGCGTTATCTGCAGCTGACTTTGATGCGGCCCTGTGGGGTGCCTGGTCGCCTTCCACCACTCATTACCGTGCGATGATTGTGCCAAAGTATCTGGCTTGATTGGTTTTGTTGTTTTTGAATGGCCGAGTTAGTATTCGACTGATCTGGTGGAGACGAAACAATAACTTTCAGGTCTAGGGTGATCGAATAAGAAATATATGTTTCTAATGAGGATCTATACAGATACTGTAGACCCTGGCCAGGAGGTGACTTAATTGCATCCAATCTTGCGTTGTTACTTTATTAGTAAATTCAGTCTATTGATATAAGGTTGCATTCTAATTCAGCTTAGAGTATTGTTTAGTTCCTTTGTTCGTGGTCAATAAGGGAGTCACTTGCAGACGGAAGGGTGGGATGAGGCTGCTGACTAAGCCACTGGCAGATGCCCGCCAGTCGGGTCACGGGTCGGGCCAGACCATACCCAATCGAGGCTAGCGGATACAAACTTCCGCCGCCCCGCACTTTTTCGCGGGCTAGATAGACGCGCGCTTCCCGAATTTTCTGCCCGCCGCGGCCGCCGAGTGGCCGACAGGCAGTTGAACGGGAAAAAAAGTTTCGGGAGTTTAAACCATCACCACTTGACAATCTCACTCATCCTTCTTCTGCCATTTTACGACGACCCTGCCAATTCCATTTCCCTGTAGTCCTCAAACAGGCTATCTACCCATTGAGACCTACTTTAACCTACGATCACCGAACACCAGCTCCTGTCCTCCCCACATTCCGATAACACTTCGCCTCTATCCACATTCGCCCCTCTAAAAAATGCCACCCAAAGCTCCTCCCCGCCGCGGAGGAGCAGCAACAGGAACCCGACGCACGACCGCTGCCGCCGCCACCGAACCCACCAATGCTCCTCCTCCCACCGAACCCACGGCTGCCACCACCGGCAGCGCCGCCGGCACCAAACCGCCAGTCCAGCGCCTGCAAACCCTAAAAAAACGCACCCCGCCGTCGGGCAGCATCGCGCGGCCGTCGCCGACCCCGGCCCCCGGCCCGGCCCCCGCCCCGGGGTCGGGGTCGGGGGAGCCCGCCAAACCGACGCTGAAGTACAAGCCGCGGGCCGTGAACCGGCGCAGCAAGGAGGAGCGCGAGGCGATGGAGAAGCTCGAGGCGCAGCGGAACCGCGAGCGGTTGAAGGAGGCCGCGGCCATCCAGCGGGGGCGCGGGGGTGGGCAGCATGGTGGCCGGGGGGGTCGGGGGGGCATGCGCGGGGGCATGATGGGGCCCGGGGGTGGGCCGTTGGGATCGGGCATGGGCGCTGGCGGTGCGCGCCGGGGCCGCGGTGGCGCGCTGGGTGGGGGGTTTGATTCCCGGTCGCGCAGTCGCAGTGTCATGGATCTGGGGGCGAGCCAGGTCGGTGAGGCCGGGGAGGGGTATGTGAGTTCTGACGAGAGTGACGGCGAGGTACGGGTTAGTATTGATCGGATTAACTTGGGGAGTGATGATGAAGAGGACAGTAAGGATCGGAAGGTTAAGTTGGAGGGCCGGGGGGGCGTTGGGGTTGGGGGGTTGAGGCCTCTTCGCTTGGAGAGGCATGAGCATGAGGAGCGCGTCGTCAGTGTTAATATGGAGTCTAGTACGACGGGGGCGGCGGAGGCTAAGAAAAAGGAGGCTGAGAAGGCGGAGTTGTCGGAAAAGAAGAAGAAGAAGAAGGCAGAGGAGGATAATGCTTTGTTTGTCGCGCAGGATGAGCAGGATGAGGAGGAGGACGAGGAGGATGAGCAGATCGTCAAGGAGGAGCCTACGGATGAGGAGGACCAGGTCATGACTGATGTGCCTCGGGCAGATGATGGCGCTACGATGGTCGACGATGGCTTGCTCCCCGTGCAGAAGGTCAAGGTGCGCCGGAAGTTGAGCCCGTCCAAGTCCGTCTCGGAGTCGGCCGTCCCCAGCCCCGAGCCGGAAGTGGCCATCGATCCTAAGAGTTTGCTACGCACCAAGGAAGATATTGAGGAGTACGAGAGACATGAGCAGGATCTGGAGATCGTGAAGACGCTCTTCCAGAAGGAGCCCCGGCCTGAAGCTCCGGAGGCGCTGGCGGGTGCCGCGGAGGGTGCCGCGCAAGGCCAGGACAAGGACAAGGAGGGAGCAGCGGAAGACGGAGACGAGGAGGAGCCCAAGGACGAGGAGCAGGACAAGCTGGCTGGACAGCTGTTTCTGATGCAATTCCCTCCGCTGACTCCCAACCTGGTCTTGCCTGGGACCGAGACTACGGACGCACACCCCACCACTACCACTACATCACCCCCAGCCACCGAACAGCCGGTCAAGCGCGAGGACGAGATGGAGATCGTTGACGGGGACGCGGATGCGACGGCCGCGCAGGGCTCGGCCAAGGTCGTCACGGCTGCGGATCCCGGCTTGTTGGCCGGCCGCGTCGGCAAGTTGAACGTCCATGCATCGGGTCGGGTGACGATGGACTGGGGTGGGATCAGCTTCGAATTGGATCGCGCAACGGCGGTGGACTTCTCCCAGGAAGCCCTGATTGTCTCCACGCCGCCGAACGCGGGCGACGAGGAGTTCCCGGATGACGAGAAGAAGGTCTGGGCGATGGGCCAGCTCAGCGGCAAGTTCACGGTGACGCCGGACTGGGAGAAGATGCTATGATCCAGTCTCGGGGTGTGGGGCAGTCAATCAATCGGTTGATTGATTGAGTGGCTGATAGATACGAGTAGATAAACATCAGTTCAATGAATGAATGAACGAACCAATTGCATTGAACGTCACCACTTCTTCTTTTGTTGTTTCTTTGGAATACGTCACCTTCGGATATGCAGGGTAGGGTAGGTAGGGTAGGGTAGGGAGGTTGGTAAGTTAGTAAGTGCTCTAGTGAGAACAAGAGTGAGGGTAGGAAGTAGGAGGGGCTGTAATGACGCCATACAAGAGTGGTGTGAAGCTGTTTGTTGCACCGTACAACCAGCCCCTCGACGTCGGCTGATGATCCAGTAGTGTAGCCGCCAGGATTGACCATCTGGACAGCGAGGAGCCTTGAGATGTTACGATAAAAATAGTTGGAATAGTACTAAGCTCCGTACTATGTGGTTGCTTGCATAGAGTTTCAACGAACACAAACTGCTGTGTCAAAGTCGCAGTCTCAGCTTAATCTAACGGTTGAGATGAAATGTCTCACATCAGGGTTTGGAGCCCGCGGGTTGCGGGTTGCGGGTTGCGGGTTCCACGTTTCGGTGACCAACTTACTGTACTGTACGGTACGGTACGTACCGAGTCCTCCGTCCCGTAGACTGCCTGTTACAGGGAAAGTGACCCTTGGGCTGCAGCTCCACTTGGCCCGCTTGGCTGTAAAGCCCTGACAAGCTTCTAAGCTTTCAGTAGCACGAGACATTCGACTAACCCCAAGTAAGGGCATTTCAGCCCGTGCGGGCACGGCTCAGAGTTTGGAACCCATAGAGCCAATAGTACCCATGATAATGCCGTCAATCGGCCCCAACAGTGGAGCGGTGCCTTGTCGCTTGACCCAAAGGGGGCAGGTCAATTGGCACTGCAGTGGCACTAATTTCCACTAATTGTTGCAGCAGGCTGAGCAGGCTGAGCAGGGTCTGTCACTGCTGGAGACTGGAGTGTTCTGGGCCGTTAACTTACCCTCCCCTCCGTACGGTACACGGTACGGAGTACAGTATTATTGAACTCAACCCACCCCTTATGATTATTATCTTTATTATTATTATTTGTATTATTATTCCGCCCGTTCGCTCCAACTCAACTCGACTCTCCCTCCCCAAACTTCCCTCTCCTCCTCCTCCTCCCTCCTATTCCTTCTCCCCCTCCCCCCCCATACTTCTCCTCACCCCCTCCTCCTTCTTTCTGCCTGCTTTGAGTCTTCGTTACTTGCGTGTCGAATCGAAATCGACCTACCCTCGCTGGGGCGGAATTGAGTTTGAGTTTGTTTTTGCTGCCTGTCGTTCCCGTGGCTGAGCCTGTCCGTTCCTCGTTCCCGCCAGTTTCAGGAGATTTGCCAAACCATTCTTTTTTCCCTTCTTCCTCCTGCTTCCCGCCCTCGCTTCGACTCTTCCGAAGTGTGCGACAATCGCGCTGTCGGATCCAGATTCCACCCGACTTGGCTGCTTACTGGGGTGGCTGCTGGATTCTTCTAGTGCGACACTTCTCAACCGTGGCCGTGGTGGTGGATTACCTGCTCTGCACGAGTGAGATTGCGCACGTTCAGGGCCTGGTGGAGGCAGCCTTGCGCATCGCAGTCAATCTAATCTAAACCCGCGACAAGCTCGACGCACAACAATCTCGTCTGATATATCCATACGAAGCTCATCCCCGATCGCTTTTGTGTCGCTTTGAAGCCTGTCGCATATTCCGATCTCATCATGAAGCCCTCGACAATCGTTCTTTGTCTCGTCCCGACGATAGCTATCGCCGCCGAAGCCGACCGGGCGCCTTCTCCCACCCCCTCCCTACCGAACACCACCCCGCCTGCTCCGTTACCAGAGATTCAGATCCGGCCCGACCACCACCAACAAGAGATCCGTCAATGGCAAGAGCGGGGGATTTCGACTGGCGAGGACACCGCCATCGACAGCGGACTGGGGACGCTGGCCGCCTCCTCGCGCGACACCAAGGCCCTGCGTGCTCGCAGCGAGGGCACGCTCGGACAGACGCCGTGGATCGGAATGGCCATCGGATTGACCTGTACCGCGCTGGCGGCAGTCATGCTGGGCTGAAGGATTGATCTGGTCATCTGTTACCTTTGCATACGGAGTTCATAATTCTCGATTTTACCTTTTTGACGACATTGACCGGCCCCCTCATTGGAATCGTTGGTCGCGAATTTTCCACCTTGCTACGGCTACGAGCGCATCGCATACCTTGGGTCCAATCCTCTCGAACCTGCATCTGATCTGCAGTGGACTGGTCACTTTAATACCACGTGGATCCCGGATACGGTCCCTGCAGGTCCCTGTTCTATACCTTTTCTTCTTCCGTCTTCTTTGCATGCATACCCAAGCCACCATGTATAGACCGGGTAGTTTTTTTTGTTTTTTTTTTTTTCTTTTCTTTTGTTTTCCCTATTTTCTGACGCTCGATTGTACGTGTATATGATACCTTGGATCTGGGGTTGAGCCGACAGGAGGCTCGCCGATCTTTTCTTGTTCGATTCTCATGATGTATCTACCACCATTATTTATGAACAATTCTTTTTTGACGATGTTGCCGACAGTAGTATCTCCGAGTCTTGTCCGACGGTTGAAAGTCGCCGCGAGCGATGGACAAATCTCCCGATGCGCGGGTCATGTGAGCCAAGGTGTGTGGTGTGTTCCTTTGTCTGTTGCCTGTCCGTTGCCCGAGAGCAGTCTGCATCTCTGCTTGGCCTCGTCAGTGTCTGTCGCGAGGAAACAAAGGACTGCGAATCGGACCTCGTGTTCTGTTCCGGGGCTGACAGCGCATCAGCAGCCGTTCCCCCCAGTGGACTGGACAGTACTTATTGCTACCACGGCCCCGGGAGGAGTCTCACATGCATGAGGATGCGCCGTGGTGTATCATCTCTTCACTTCCCTTCACGGACTACTGTATGTTGCTGTTCCGAGTGAGGTTGAGATCATCACTTACGGCGACTGCACTGTCAGGGACTGAACACCAGTTCAACCCAAGGACCGCACACAATCCACCTCCACCATCTCCAGCCCTGCGCAAAGTAGCCCCAAAGGACTTCCCATCTGCTTAAGAAACCAATCCGAACAACAGCCTCACCTGAGATATCACAAGTAAGCCCACCACCACCACCACCACCACCACCACCATCCCCACCATCTCATCAACCACCATCCCCACCCCCAACCCACAAACATCCCCAAACAAAGCTAACCCCCCCCACCCCCACCCTCACCTCAGCCTTGAGGGAATCATGGCCAAATCCTACGACAACATCCCCCCGTACACCCCCATGAAATCCCTCGGCCACGAACTCGGCATCCTCTTCGGCTTCCTCGTCGCCTGCTTCGTCGTAATGGGCGTCTACGTCTACGTCTGGCATGGTGAGTTTCGTCTCCTCCACCCAACCCAACCCAACCCACCGTCATTCACCTGTTGCCTCCCCCTCCCCCTCCGACCAAAATATTGAGAAAAAGTCCCAGCCGCCGAACGCCGCGAAGCCCACCGCGACAAACTCCGGCACCAGATGCTCGACACCCGGCGCGTGGACCCGCACTTCCACGAGCAGCGCCTGCACCCGGACTACCGGCCCATGGGCACCTCGACCACCATCACGGCGGGGTCGACGACCGTCATCGGCGGGGGTGGGGGGAGCAGTGTTGCCGGGTACAGTGGGTATGGTGGTGGTGGTGGGGCAGGGGCTGCAGGCACGGCCACCCCGACGACTGCCACGGGCACGGCTCCGGCGTCGGGCTCCGCGATTGGGATTGAGAAGATGATTGAGAAGAGGGCGGAGTTGGCGGGACGGCAAGCATATCCTCATCCACATCCACATCCACATCCACAGCAACAACAGTACTCGGAGCCGCAGGGGGCGATAGGGGTTGCGGTTACGACGCCTACCGAGGAGGAGAAAGAGAAAGAGAAAGGCAGCTTCAGGAAGGGGTCCTCGGCGTTTGGATTGGGGTTGGGGAAGAGGAATTTGAGCTTGAGGTCGCATCCGGTGGATTCGGGGACGGGGGGGGCGGAGGTGAAGAGGGCGGGGAGTGCGGGGAGAACTGGGAGTACTGCAAGTACGGGGGTCTCGCCTGGGAGTGCGGGGGGATGGGCGGCGGGGGTTCCTGGGTATTATGGGTCTGGGAAGGAGGCCGGGGTGGAGATGGATGTTATGGGGGCGAAGGGGCATTGATGTTGTTGGACTGGATATCGTGCGTGCGTGGTCTTTCATGCTTCATGCGGAGTTCCAAGGGATAGTCTGTATCATGTTCATACTCATAATGCATTCTCTTCCCCAATCTTTGCCATAACAATTCGTGACGAACCTTGCTCACCTCATTTATCTATGCCAATGCCAATGCCAATGCAAAGCCACCCACACCACACCGACAATCCCCCCCGTGTCCACCACCCAGACCTAAACCCAATTCCTCCCCAAGAGGGAACCTACTTCCCAATCGCCACAAACAACCGATCCCCAATATCCCCCAACCCAGGCACGATCATGCCGCGCTCATCGCACCGCGCATCCACCGCGCCCGTCCACACCTCCACCCCGTCCGCCCACGTGCCCGCCGCGCGCCGGATCCCCGCCTCGGAGCCGAGCACGCTCAGCATCACGACGCGCCGCACCCCCCACTCGCGCAGCAGCTGGATGGCCGCCTCGGCCGTGGCGCCCGTCGCGATGATCGGGTCCAGCAGGATGGCCGTGTCGGCCGCGGCGGGGTTGGCGCTGCGGGCGTTGTGGAAGGGCAGGTTGTTGTAGTACTCGACCGGTTGCAGGGTCAGGCGCTCGCGGAAGAGGCCTAGGTGGTAGATGGGGATGCTGGTGGGGAGGAGGGAGTTGATTGCTGGTTTTCTGTTAGGATCTTCTCCCAAGGCGGAGGAGGGGAAAGTGTAGATAAGGGTTTCCGGGGTGGGCGGGGAGAGATAAGGATAAGAGGATAAGGAAGAGAGTCCTGAGTTCCGGAGGGGTGGGAGATAAGGATTCGGGATGTGGGATGGGTTGCTTCGAGCAGAAGCTTGGGACGTACCGTCGGTCATCCCTAGTCCGGATCGCAGGATGGGCACCAAGGCGATGTTGGAGGGGTCGATGGTCGTGGTTGGGTATTCGATGCCGAGGGGGGTTTGGTCCTGGGTTGGAGGTTAGATTTCGGGCAATCGTGGTGTGGTGGGAGTGGATTGAGCAGAGGATATGCATACCGTTCCATCTTGCTTCGTCTGCCAGCCAGACGCAAACGCTTCCACGCCCAGAATGGTGGCGATCTCGTGGACGAGATCGCGGGTTTGGCGGGTGGAGGTGGAGGCGGAGCGCAGTTGCGAGAGTTTGGCCTGCAGGAGGGGGTGGGAGGAGACGTGGACGTTGGAGGGGAGGCTCATGTTGAATCGGGGGTGAGTAAGTTATGATGGTCGGGGTTTATGTGTGTGTCGGTGTTGAAGTTGGGCTGAGATACACAGGAGGGCAGGGGTTTTATAGCTTGGGAGTGCTAGGGAGCTCAGGTAGCAGTGCGTTTGTAGAAGAGTGGAAATGATGCAGTTGGGAATGAGGGGTAAAACAAACAAGGCAGACGAAAGTCACCTGCTACGACGAAGGTTACTCCCTCGTCGGCTGATCCTCAGGCATTCTTTCTCTCTTCATTCCACTGTATCCTGTATCCTGTATCCTGCATCGTCTATCGCCTATCGTGCCCCAGGCGAGGATATCTCCGGACTGATAAGCTGTTTATCATGATCTCTCCCTCTCTATCTTAAACCCCCAGTGGACCAGAACCCAGCCTGTGCTCCACCGACCCCACCTCCACTGTTTTCCCTCTGTCCGGACTTCTCTCCGCGCCCGAACTTCCTCTCCCTGTCGCAAACCGAGTATTCGCAAACCACCGCGCCGCAATGGCATCACAACCACAACCCCCGAAAAAATGACAATCCTCGGCGGCGCGAGGCTGATTTCTATGGGGTGGTCAGCGGCGCGGTCGCGTTGGGGTTCTTTGTCGTCATTGCTGGGTCGTTGGCCTGGACGAGGGGGTTCGTGGGTTCGTTGAGCCTGTCTCTTCTGGATCTCCCCTCGATCGAGAAAGAATTATACTTATAATCATAGTGTTGAATATAGATGCTCAAGGTGTAGAACGAATTTATCATACTACAACTAATGAAATGCATCCCCGCCAAATACTTATATTTTGTGTGCAAATTACTTATTGTACAGAACAACTACAACCAATTAAGCATGTGCAACAGCGCGGAAAGAATCAACAATGAAAGAAAAATCTTCAGATCGCAACATGCGCAAAGGAAAAACCCAAAGCAGCAGAACAACAGAGCGGAGTAACAATCGACAGGCGGGGACGCGTTAAACACATGACGAACAGCAGGCAAGCTCACATTAAGATGACATCAACAAGGAGAAGAAAAAAGTGTATGTCAACGAAGGACCAAGAGAGATGAGAGAAGAGAAAAGAAAAGAAGTATATAACGGACAGAAGGTATCGAAAAAGCAGCCAAAGACAACATGTCTCGGCCCCAAAGAAAAAGAACCAAACACGCTCATGCGCAAGAATCGAACGGACAGTACTAAGAATTAAGGGTGTAGACGAGCAGATAGGAACCAGAGGAAAAACAACAACTCCACCGAGTGCTAGGGAAGAACACACAGGACCAGCCGGGTGTCGAGATGTTGCCTGGGAAAATTCAACCCATCAAAACAAGAAAATGACCACACCGGACTCCCGTGAGCTCTTGCAAAACCGATAGGAAATATGAACCATAACGCATGATAGGGGAAAGAAAAGTAAAGAAAAGGAGCCGGGGAACGCCAGCAAGGAATCATTATGCGGCGGTTGAGTTCGTCACCGGAAATCACATCTTGCCGCCCAGACTTGCGCATCCGTTCCCGACCCTAAACCGAAATCCAGTGTCCCAAATATGATGTTGAGTGAATGTAGAGAAGTGTATGTGTTTCAGGCGACCGAGGTCACCTTGGCCGTGGCATGTGCAGCATTAGTACGCCGTTCCCACACTGGCCAACGTCTTGGGGGGCATTGCATGAATAGGCTGGTCTTTGGCAACGCGCAACGAATCTTCGTAGCCGATTAAGGCTTGCGAATGAAGTTTGAATGACTCGCCCATGAGCTTGGTAATGCTGTTCCAATGGTTAGTATTTCAGTCTAGGAAACCAGAAGTAGATGACTCACCCCCATACTACCACACCGTCTAGGATGTTACCCCATACACGGGCCACGGTAGAGCTGAGTTTACCAAAAGCATCGACGGCATCATCATCAAACAAATTCCGCACCTTGTTGTAGATGGCGATTTCGGCCTCGGTCGCTGGCTCTTCGTCATGTTCCAGGCGATAGAGCCAGAGACTGAGGATCACCATCAAGTCCAAGCCACACAGGGGGTGCTCGACGCTCCAGTTCGTGGCAGACGTCTGCGCCACCCAGTTGATACCTTGAACGGCAGCGATTTCGATGCACTCGAAGCATGATTGGATGACCTTGTTCATCTCTTGAGACCGCTTGACCTTCTCGCGGGCCACGGTCATGGCAGCAGCCACCTCGTACGAAGAGTGGTAGCGCAGAGCCTCCTGGATGGACTTAAGATCCACTTCCAGGCGAGCGCGAGTGTTTCGATAGACCGCCATGGAGTTGAAGATCAGAGGGTGGCCCTTCTGAGGGGTGCTGAGGGGCACCACCATCGTCTCGGGCTCGCAAACTTCAAGTGAGCTTTCCCAGGTCTCCAAAGCGAGACGAAGCTTGTACTCGGTAACCACATCCTGCAGAGCCTCGAAACTGCGCTTGTGGTTCCACACTTGGAGGAACAGAGCGTTGATGAGAACACGTGTGGCAAATGCACTGTATCGGGTCTGCTCGCCTTGGAAAAGACAATCGTGGGCTTCTCGAACGGTCAAGGTGGAAGCATTGGCCAGGCTCCGGCGCCAAGCGTCGTCGTCGGTCACATCGAGGTTCCACAAAGACTCGGAAGAAGGTAGCTCAAGGTTGTCAAACTCGTCAAAGCTCATCGCTGGGGTGTGGTTGAAAGTCAAGGTGAGCATGCCAAAGAAAATGTAGACCGCGAAATAGGTACGGCGGCAAGACTCATCCTCAATCCAATCCTCCCTGGAAGGGATACCTTCACGACCCTCGGTGCGAAGCTTCAGTTGATAGCGGTTTCCAGCAACCATCTATAATCAATCAGTACAAGCAATTCAACCTCTCTGGATCAACAGAGTACTCACGTTGGCCAAAAGACTCTTGATGGAGCAAGTCCACTCGAGTCCCTTCGGGTCGCCGCTCCAGCTCTCGAAGATCATGTTGAGAAGGGTACTCTGCATCGCCCACAGCGGACATTTTCTCGAGTCGAAGTTCTCCTTGTGTTGCAGGAATTGATTGACCAGCATTTTGGACCCCACATGAAGCATGAATGCGTCCTTCCGCTCAAAAGTATACAAAGCACCGATAGAGAGAACTGCGAGAAGTAGAGGCGCCGAGACCTCCGCTGGCTGGAACGACTCCTGGTGCAGGAAGGGGAGATGAGGGTGATACAGGTTGAAATACGTCGACAGGTACTTGTTGAGTGCAGATGTGGGGGGCAGCTGGAACGATTCGGGCAGTACACCAAGCGAGTCTGCATCATCTAGGCGGTCCACGATCATGTTGCGCTCAGTTTCGCTGGCGATTTGAGGAGCCTTGGGCAGTGTCAAGGCCTGGCTGGGACCAGGGGATCTACGGTAGTTCACAGGGCTGACAGGACCCGTCATCGAAGGATACGGGGACAAGGCATTCGGCGTCGAGGTTCCCGACATGGGGAGCGAGTTGACCAAAGAGTGGAGCGAGGGAGCCAAACCATCGCCTACGGGACCGTGCCGAGCCATCACTGACGGGAGTGGATGCGAATCGGCTCCACCTTCGTGGGACGCGAAGGGCGACCCCATCGAGTGCTTTGTGTCAGCGGGCGAGACGAGGGTGTCCCAGGGCATCTGCGGTAGCGTTGCGTTTCCTGACAGGTACCCGACCGAAGGCTCTAATAACGAACCGCGTCCGGGGGAAAATGAGCGATCGGAATCAGCACGATCGTTGGATTGACCAGTCGCAGCGGCTGCAGCCTTGTGTTGGAAATCTGTCATCAACATGGCTGCAGTTTCAAGATCGACCATACCATCACTGCTTGCCTCGATCTGTTCGAGCGTAGTAGGATCAACTGTGATCGAGGGTTTGCTGGCGGGGCCGGAGGTGGGGGAAGTCTTTCGCACACCTGCGCCACCGCGTCGCCTGCCCTCGGACACCAATGGAATACCACCATCTTTGGCATGGACAGTACGGTCGTGTCGAAGAAGGAGGTCTCGACGCACGAAGGTGCTCCGACATTTCAAGCACTTGAAGGGTCTCTCTTTGGTATCTGTGGGTCAAATCCAGAATTAGCCTCACACCGCCATTAGGATCAGCGCAGCCAACTCATCACAAAAATTTTCAACAGAGAAGATGTAGACTACTTACGCGATCGTTCGTGTCTGCTGCGGTGTTCACTTCGACTGAAGGCGCGATTGCAAAATTGGCATTTGTATTTCTTCTCTGGGACGGAGGTCTTTTTGACGGGTGCGGAGGCCGCCGGGTTGGGTGCGCTGGGAGCCATGGCTGAAGAGGCGGGCAGCGAAACCAAGGGCACGAAGGCTGGAATCTCAATGGAACAGGTTCGACTGCGAAGATTGGGCTATCGTCCCTTTCGTAATTTCACACCGATTCTGAAGACGGGTAGACGACAAGGATTCGGTTTGTTGCCTGATCATTCCTTGTGTGGGGGTATCTTGGAGAAGAGCGTAGGTTGAACTCGAAGGGGTGAGGGGAAGGGTTGAAGTTATCCAGCCACAGGCGGATTAGGAGAGGGGAATCGTGAAAGTGGCGTGGATGGCCAGGATGGCGAAAATCGGCAGTGAAAAGAGGAAAGAGAAAGACCCAGAAGAAGCAACGGAAGAGAAGGCGAGCAAGATGTTGAATAATGACCCAGTAGGAGGGGAAAGGAAGAGGGGAAAGGGAAGGGGAAAGAAGAGGAGGAGGGGAGGGGGGGGGAGGAAAGACGTTAAGAGAGAAGGAGGAGAAAAGAGGGAGGAAGACAGAAGAAGAAAAGAAGAGGAAGAAAGAATAGGTAAGAGGGACGAGGGACGAGGGAGGGAGGGGGGAAGGAGAAATGAATGGTGAATGGATGAGGAGAAAGTAGAGTGCGGTGCGAATTTGCGGGAGGAAGAGAGACAGAGACAGCGACAGACAGACAGACAGACAGAGTCTGGGTCGAAGGAAGGGGAGGAGGGGAGGGGGGGAGACAGAGAGAGTGAGAGGGACGGGGAAGTGCGAGCAAGTCGCGACAGGACGTGGGCACAAGCTGATGGAGGAAGGAAGATTTGGGCGATCGCTGGATCGCAACAAGTGAGGCGGTCGTGACCAGCAGTCGGTGTTGGCAGTTGATTTGGGCGACGAGCAGCGCAGGAGAACCACAAGAAACCACAACAACAGGGAAGTGGGAGGCGGAAAAGAGGGGCTTCGTTTCCCGGCGGGACTGACGGAGGGGGTTGCAAAACCCAGCGATTTGAGCGGTCTTCCGGCACGGACACGCGCTGCATTCCTTATTGCCACCTCGTCAATTATTTATTTAGTTAACTTAAGTTAACTAGTTCCTTTGGATTTCTGACTAACCCGCGTCACCGCACTATCCCCAATCCCGCTTAGGACACGTCCTTTGCTCTAAAGTTCCTACAGTTCCTAAAGTTCCTTGACCCATAATTTCTGGTCTTTCTGGTCTTTCTCCCCCCAATTACCGAAGCCAGAGTCACAGACTGGACTGTGGATGGCATTGGATGCACCGGATGGATACTTTTAAGTGGACTTTCTCTCTTCCCAAACCCACATGGACACTTTCCAACCCGTCAACCCGGTTCAGCCGGGGGGTCCTGCTTGTCCTTTCGTCTGGCTGAATCGACCGTTTGTTAGTTTAGTCCGATGTGAGGGAGCATTCATCTATATCCACTCTTCAATTTCCCTCTCCGCACTACACGCTACGCTACGCTACACACAGCCAGTATGAAGGAAAAGCCAAAAAAAAAAATCCTAAAAACAAAAACAAAAATACACACACCAGGCAAATGGAAAAGAACCTGTCAACATCCGTTAAATTGATCCGAGATTTTTTGGGGTTGTTTCTTTTGTTCTGGCATGGAAGAACTTGACTCCCTATATGCATAACATTGGGCAGCATCTACATGTTTCTTCTCTCCCCTGATCATATTATGTAGATGATCATGGATGGCGGTTCTTTAGATCTGAAATTGATCCAGAGTTTCCAGCCAGAGTCTATGCGATGATGATTAGATTGTTGTCTATACCTAACTACCGAGTAGCTCCTAGCACCCTATCCCTGTTTTGATTAGTGACGGAACCCTCGTTCAGCGGCAGTCACCTGCGACCTAACCCTAGAAGGTAGCCTGGCAGTCGCAAAGAGTCTGAGAGAGCCTCTGGATCCTCTGGATCCTCTGTGCATTTGCCGATTGCATTGGTTGGTTCTCCATCTTCGACCCGGGGCTTCTTCTTCTGTGACGATGAATTCATCGTTGTTATTGTGGGGTTGGGCTTGGGCTTGGTATGAGAGAACAGCTTCAAAGCGGTATGGTATGTAACTCTTTTGGGTGGGTGGGTGGGTGCAGCAGCAAGCAAGTGAAGAACAAGAATATTCGAGTTGTCTAAGTAACGTCAGTTGGGGCAAGTAAGGTCTAGGGCACTACCAAGTGATTATCGAAGTCATCGCATCCCTATCTCTATTTCTGGAGTACAGTACTCGTAGTTATCGCGCGCCCCTCCTTCTATCCCCCCTCCCCCCCCCCCTCCCCTATCTGACAGCCCACGGCCACAATTTGGGTGGTACGTACTCCAGCCCGGTCGGTAACTGCGGGGCCATTCACCACAAGAATCAGATTGTAATCCATTATCTATTGATTGATCTTTAAAAGGGTACTTTGTAAGGAAAGCACAGTACTTACTGTAGTAGTGGCTATGGGGGGGGCATTGGATACAGCGCCCATCTTAATCAAATTGAATACAATTTCAATTGATGTGTCTTTCATCATTGCGTGCGAACGCTCCACAGTGAGAGGGGAAGACGCGAAAATACTCGAGCGACAGCAAGGCTGAAGAAGGTTAGACCAGCCAACCTCTCCGTCTCTCCGTCCCTCCGTCTCTCTGCCTTCTCGGTGGTGTGTGTGCTGTGATAATCATCAATCAAATCACACGCACCTGGCCCCTCTCTCTCCCTCTCTGTTTCCTTTTTGTCTCTTTTTTTCCCTTTTTATTTAATTTCATCTATTTTCTTATTCCTTTTTCCGAATTTATTTTTTTTTCTTTCCACTTGTTCTTCTTTCGTCTCGCCCCTCGTCAGCCCCCCCTGCCCCTCCAACAGGGATACCACCGACGCTTGAATGCCACGGAGGAACAGTGCCGACATGATTCGTGTGTTCTCTCCCTTCATTTCCACCTGGGATTCTTTTCCCACACAGGCTAAGCGGACTGACTGCTTAGGCCAAACGGTGTCCACGATGTTGTTCAGTAAGAATCCAGCATGATTCAAGGCCGAGAATCGATATATCGATCATCCTGGTTCCTCCTGCATTGTCACTCTCCTTTTGTTCTTCTTTTTCTGTTTGGTGAGTTTGATTCATCGAGTTTCTGTTCATTCCCCCTCCTTTCTGAGCAGCATGACGGAGAAGGAGAAACGATGGAACCCGCCACTCCCAGCTACCCCTCCTGTCCCTCTCGAGGTTCCCCTCTTGGATGATGTCCCTCCTTCACCCCTCCTTGGAAAACCCTACTTACCCCTCCGAAAGCACTAAATCAGTAAGTAATACATCTACACTCCGTCCCTGCCCAGTGGGTGTTCGGAGTTCCCCTGTAAGACGACAGCAATAATCGACACTCCGTCGAGTTCGGAACACGGATTTCGGATTTGAGCATTAGACTAGCAGCGGCATCTAAGATTTCTGTGTCTGACTCTTGTGAATTTCATCCATGTGCGCACCAATTGGAAGTGACTCCCACAGAGTTGAACTAGTCGGGTGGATCTTAGACAGGACCGAGGAGCGGCCGTTGTTCCAGACCTTCTCCATCTCCATCACCATGACGAGGGATCCTGCTGCTCCTGCTCCTGCTCCTACTGCTGCTGCTGCTATTAATCTTAGTCTCACCCGTGTTCTATAGATATCTGGATAGTCTTCGCAAACCATGTAGGGATAAAGATGGGGAACTATCAACTCCTGGTGCCAAGTCATTCATACCGAACAGTCTCCTCAATCAAAGCATGCTTGGCTGGCTTTTCAAACTACGAAAAAACCAAACACAAAAAAATGCAAAGAAACTCAACAACAGTTACCCATCACCACGCAGCAATAGGAGAATATTGCTGACGATGTGATGCCTCTCAGCCTGACAGATCACCACCCGCTCCATCGGGAGTCAGTCTATCCACATCTAACTTGAGGATTCATTCAGAAGATTAATGGGTTCTGGAAATGCATTCGACACATTCGATGTTGCCCCGACCAGAAAAGGAAGTGCATGGACTGTGCGAAAGGCTATTTAGCCCGCCTACACCGTACGGTTCTCCTTTCCTTATCCTGAGAGGATGTTTTTTCACGATTTTTGCCTCCCCCCCTCCCCGCCGTCTCAGCTTAAGGTCAGCTGGATCAGCATTGCGCGCGGTGCCATCCGCAGAAGGAAGACTCAGGTACGCGACAGGACGACTCAGCTTTCTTCTTTTCAGGTCATTGTTGTTCGCCACAGCGATTGGCTTTGTTGTTCTTACGTAGTACTCGGTTTCAGATATGCCCAGTGTGGCTGCTCGAGTATGTGTCTTGTGTGTTCGCGCATGGAGGGCACCACGATACCCCTCCCTTCAATCTGGACATACTGTACAGTATGTACATACACACCAGAAAAGCGACGAAGAAACTCGGCGCGATCCAGCTGGGCCTTAATTCAGACTGCATGACTGCATCATAATCATCATCAACAACATCATCATCAAACACTATTGTTTCTGTTTTTGGGAATTCTGCATCCAAGCCAGAGATGCATCGACCTAGCATCGCCCGCCGACCTAGTCTGGTCCCATCTGCAGCCGTGGCATGGGCGACCAGGGCTTTTTCTTTTATGGGCTTGTACCGAGTGAGTCTAGTGAGTGGTTTAGTCTCGGAGCGACAGTTCCCTTAGTGGCAGGGCAATTCATCATAGTCGAGGTCATCAATCCATGGCTGCCTGTAAAGATCCCCCAAGCAAGTCCGCAGTCGCGCCTAACCAGCCTCACTCGGAGACGCGCCCTTGTTCCGCGTCAGTCGCTTTGCTCAACTCTTAGTCACTGTACTTGTACATCATCATCATTCCTCTAAGGTCAGATGATGACCGTGGATGACTCTCCAGGTTCTGGCTCTTATCCTCCAATCTTATCAATGCCCAGTTTTCCGTTCGCGCTTGGTTTGTTGCTTCTTCTCCATCCTTCCTTGCACGTCGGATCACGGTTCGAGGTCATGCCATATCAGGAAGAGGGACGCGCTCTCAAGACCCTTCCCTCCTCTCGCCAGCAGCAAGGACTGGGATAATTGATCCCAGTCTTCATCTTAATTATTCTCACCACGACGAGAGATTCCCGTAAAATTCCGGTATGTGGGGCGTCTCTTATGGACCCCGACGCGGGCTGAGTTACTAGGGGAACACACTCACACATGACCATCAAAAGTGGGAACACCCACTGGGAAGTACAAAAGTACCCCGCGAAAGGACCAGACTATCTATTGATTAACTTATTGAAGAGGCGTTGTAGAGTATCTATTCACCGGGTCGGTTCAACTTCAATCTATCCAGATCCAAGACAACCACACCACATGCATTACATAGTACTGTACGTGCTGTCCAAGCTGTGGATCATTCTTCGCAGTCCTGGAACATGTGTCCAGTACACGTACGATTATCCATCTTCCTACATGGATGGTGGTTCTGATTCTGGTTCTGCCTGCACAACATCGTCGACCGGACGGGGCGATCCTCGCTCGCGTCCCCGATGATGTTATTCCACCCCTCTTATTGACCCCCCCCCCCCCCCTCCCCGTGATTACTATTGACAGACAGCCCTACTTGGACGCAGGGCCCAGGACGGCCCAACCGATCAGTACTACCATGCCTTAATGCAGCATGGAGACTAGCAGTTGGCGAGAAATAGTACCTCGGAAAGTCGGACTACGTGTGTTGCCTTGCTCACCGCTTTGTGTAGTTAATTACTGCCAGGAGCTGCAGGGCTGCGACTGCAGGAATGATAAGAGCGGTGAGTGACCGACCAGACCGTCTATTCCGTCCGACCTCTACATTCGTACAGTCGACACCACTCGGCTACTTCTTACACGTCCAGCCGCCTGGATTTTCTCAAAGGGAAGAGAGGGGAAAGAACTCCGAGAGGAGCCAGGCCAACATCCCGTTTTTTCCGATCCACTTTCCGGTCCATGCAGCGGTCCGATCCAGTCAAACTGTGTGTGTGAGTTGATGGAGTGGTACTTTGTGCTAACTACTTCTGAAGGCATCAACTGGCTTCGTCTATGAGGACGTGAAAGACTCGATTTGAGATAGATAACATGCCAGTCAGAGATACTCAGCAGACTTTGATCTTCAGGATCGAAGCAAAGCCTTCCATCCAACTCCACTACGGAAATCGGGAGTTACGGCCCACGGTCCCGGCCTCCTGGATTGGCGCACGGGTTGAAGGGAGGAGGGGAAAGGGAAAAAAAGGGCCTTTCTTTTCCTATTCGAAAGAAACTTCCGTACATACCGATCCCGCTCTTTTTCTCTCCTTCCATGATCCATCATATTTCACGATCGATTCAAGAGAGATCTGAAGGGCAACATTTTTCGAGTGGCTAATTTCTCCGAGGGGGCATGCTGCTTATCTATCATTCTTTGTTGTTGAATTACCCACTTTCCACATCCTTCCGAGAGTCTAAACGAAAAAGCTAGAAGCATGTCCGGCATCCATCCCAACCATTGAACGGACTCGGAATCTCCATCGTCTCGAAAGAGGACACCAAGAGCAACACATCTCAAAGTAGATGGCAAGGGAGAGAGAAGGGGCCCAGCACCGACCCAAACTTGAGACGCATCGACATACTTGCACCAACCGTCATCCAGGACCAGCGGCAGAGAAGGACTTCTCGGTCGAAATGCTTGCTGAAATTCTTTTCTTTTTCTTCTGACGCTGCGGCTACCCGTAAGTATTTTTCTTCGGTGATGCAGCTAGATCTACCTAGTGGGAGGAAGAGGTCGATCATTTTTATTCGGTTGATGGTCGGTCTAGTAGTCACGGAAGAAGTTCTACCGCCTCCCTACGCCCAGCCCAGTCTCCGTACTTCGTAGTCCATCTCAAGATGGAAGCTGATGTCCACTGGAATCTTCAACCGTGATCTGGTGGACTATGCTACCCTACGCTACCGAACTCCACCCCACTAGGTATCTTTGCAGGATCCCCGCCAGTTTCGACTTTTGACGCTAGCCCAGGCCATCGCAGCTATCGGTGCATAAATGCTGTACTGTGCAGTGTAGAGTACATACTTTACGAAGTACGAAGTACAGAGTACAGTTCAATGAAACCGTGCAAACAACCACCAACAAGAAGACAACACAGACCGACTTCCGGACCCTCTTATCAGGGAGTGTACAATCTCTCCCAGCCATATCGCAAGTGAGCCATTGATACCTATCAACGCCAACACGCCCTCCTCCCCGAAGACTGACAACCGGAAGCGCAAGCAACCCATCGTCATCCACAATCCCGCGGTCGTATTCCGTACACTTCCCAGTAGGAAGTCGGTGAAAGAGATTTCTTAGTTCCATATCCAGAACAACATCCGTGCTCAACCGGTTAGTTCTCGCCTTTGTCTATCGCCGTAAGACTCCGTAGTTAGTCTCTGTTGACCGCTTTTACGGATAGATTCAATATGTTGACTTATCGCCCCGTTCGGGCACTCACCCCGTTCTTACCGTGGCCTATTGCTTAGGTATGCATTTTCCCTACGTCTAGTCATTGATTGCAGTGCTCACACATAGCACGCGCGAAGGATGACCTCCAAGTGGGAACGACTACTACACAAGTAACTGCCCGGCCCTTTTGCTGCTCCCCCACTCACATCCGACACTCGGGAACCGCGAAAGCGGGAGCCGATAACTTTCTTTTCTGTATCTTGTCTCTGTACTTTTGAATTTTTGTTGGTTCTTTCGGGCCTGGATTTGTGCGCTGGCTTCGCTAAAGGTTGGGCTGGGTTGGGTGGTCAGGGCAGGGCAGAGCATGGACCGAGCATTTGTACAGTTACCGATGCAGAAGGGATGTACTGTGGTCTCTCACTCTATTTTTGGAGGTAGATTTGGGAACTTATCGGGGGAGTGAGTGAGGTTCGGCAGTTGACTGCTTGAGCTTGAGGTTATGTGGGTTTCTTTTTGCTTGGGTGGGTACCCTCGTTCTATATGGAATTATATGTTGGATGTAGTGTAGACAGGCCTTGGAGTGAGGACTTATATGTACTTACTCGGTTTATGTCCCTACACCGAATATATCGTCCCCGCTGAAGCTGTGCCTAGATGGGGTACCCAACTTTAATGATGTGGATATGTCATTGAGCAGCTATATCCTGCCAGGAACCAAAGATTATAGTGACAGGCACAAGTCGGTTCTTGTTGATGGTTGGATTGCACCGAGGGTGTACCATGGTTCGCTTCCGTCTTCTGGGCGGGTGTGGTCCCGTGGTTCGCGGTTACCTTGAATAATGTCTGTCCCTTGCTGAGGCTGTGTTCACTCTAGGTTTGGATTGTATATGGATGTGACGGATGGGTTGTTGTTGAATACTGTATAGTGCGTGTAGGGTATACTGTTGGGGCATATTATGCTGGCTTTGAACTATTCGCATGTATACGGTGGTGGTGGTGGTAAGTTAGCGGTGGAACACATACAGTACTTATCGGGATATATATCTATCGCGACAGAAATCTCGAGATACCAAATATCTTATCCTACACGCCCATAAAACACCTAGAGAATCGTAAGGCATAGCATCACACACTCCCCTACATAGTAACACCACGCTTGAACGGTCCTGATATATCTATCTCTCCCAGCCAACAACTACCACCAAATGCACCACCATCTTCACTACAAATACTGTAAATTGACACACTGAAACCCCCCTCGAAACCAACCACCAAAACCGCCGAATCATTATATCATATCATATCATCAATCCCAACCAGCCGAGCCAACCGCGTAAATAAATCCGCCCAGAAAATAATCTATGACCCCGCCGAGAATGCAAAAGTTCTAGAACTGCTTACCACGAAAAACCCACCGAACTTCCCGAACCAA